GCACAGCTGAGTCTTCGTCTCTTCACCCTGCTGAATGTAAATAAGTTGCTAAATGCCTTTTCCCCATCTTGAAATGTGAGTAAATCTGCTTAAAATCCTTTGTGAAAAGTTCAAGCAGAGACAGAAGTGCTTTTTAAACTGTAAAGGCCTGGCTGCTTATCTGGGGAATACACATTCTTTTTCGCTCAGAAGAACGCCTGTGAAAGTTGAACAGCTAATGAGCTGTAAAAAAACCCCCTTTGTTTTCCTGTGTTATGAATCTTTTGCTTTGCTTATGAGAAAAAATAGAGAAGAGTTCTTTACGTTGGACATGAAAACCGTCAGAGAAAAAAACCCATCAGATCGTAGTCTCGAACGCTTAAGACAAATAGAGGTGGAATCCCCCGCTTCTAAAGAAGTTTGTAAAGAGACTCGGGAAGCTGCTGGAAAGGAGGGGGGAGGGGCTACCTCTCTGAGCAGTCTTATTGAAGCCAGAATGTGTTGATGACAATGGAGATGAAAGTTAAGAAAGATTACAGGGATTAATGGGGGAAATAAGATTATATGTTAGTAAATGTTTATGCACCGAATGTGAATCAAGGAGAATTTTATAAAACTGGCATTAAAGAGATGGAGAAGGGTAGAACGGGATATGTTATAATGGCAGGAGATTTTAATATGGTTTTAGATAAGGCAAAGGATAAAACTATATGTAAAAAAGATGAGCTGAATAAAAGAAGTACCCTATTGTGTAAGATACTGAAAACAATGGATTTAAAAGATATATGGAGATAATTGAAGGGAGATGAAAGAAGGTTTACGTGTTATTCCTCTGTTCATAATAGTTATTCAAGAATAGATTTCATGTTTAAATCTCAAAAATTAATTTCTAAAGTAGTAGATACAAATATTAATGTGATAAAAATAACAGGTCATGTGTTGATGATGATGCAGACAAAAGTTAAGGATGATTACAGAGAAGATAGAAAATGGAGAATAGATTCCAATATTTTTAGTATACAGATGTAATGGATAGAGCTAAGAAAGAATGGATGGAAATATGGTCAATAAATGAAGCAGGTGTGAGTAAAATAGCAGTGTTATGGGTCACTATGAAATTAGTTATGAGAGGAATTGCCATAAGAGAATCATGTAGAATAAAAAAGAGAGAAGAAATTATTTTAAAAAATAGAAAAATCATTAAGAAATTTAGAAAGTAAATATTTTATAGATAGACATAATAAGAAATTATTATAGAGTCAAGCTAAGAGGAGAGAGTTAGAAAGCATAGAGTTAGAAAATGTCCAGAAGGATTTGATATACTTGAAGAGGAACTTTTTTTGAATATAGTAAGGGTAGATCAAACTAAAAGATCAAAAAACACAATTGGAGTGATCAGGAGATAAAACAGAAAAAAACTGTAGCCTAAAGAAGGAAAAATTTATATTTCAAGAATTTTACCAGGATTTATATAAAGGTAACAATACATGGAAAGAAGATGGAGTGATCAGGAGATAAAACAGAAAAAAATTGTAGCCTAAAGAAGGAAAAATTTATGATATTTCAAGAATTTTACCAAAATTTATATATAGGTAACAATACATGGAAAGAAGATATAGAAATTTATATTAAAGAAAATGTAAAGAGTAAACTATTAGAAAATGATAAAAGAATTAGAAAAATTGATAAAAGATGTAGAGATTACAGAGGTTATTAACAAACTCCAGGCTTTGATGGAATAGGATCAGAATATAATAAAGTTTTAAAATCAATACTGATCCTCAAGTTAAAAATACTTTATAATGGAATATTAGGAGAGAAAATACCAGATTCTTGTAAATATTCAATAACAACTCTTATTCCAAAACCCAATTAAGATTTGACAGACCCAAGTTCATATAGACCTATTTCATTATTAAATCAAGATGCAAAGATATTTACTGCAATCTTGGCAAATAAAATGAATAAGTTTATTACAAAATATATTAAAGAAGATCAAAATGGGTTTCTAAAGGGAAGACAAATGAAAAATTTAACTAGAAGGATTTTGAATATTATATATAATACTGAAAAAGATAAATCAAAGGCAGGTATTTTTTAATTAGATATTTTTAAAGCATTTGATTGTGTAGAATGGCCAGCAATGCAAATTGTAATATCATAAGTGTAGAATGGCCAGCAATGCAAATTGTAACATCATAATTTATACAGTTGTGCCCCGCTGGATGATTACCCCGCGCTACGACAAATCTGCATTATGTCGACATTTTTGCGATCGCTTTTGCGATCGCAAAGTGATGTTTTAAATGGGGGAATTTTGCTTCACATTGATCGGTTCCCTTTTTCGGGAACTGATTTTTCGCTTTACGACAATCAGCAAACAGCTGATCGTCAGGTTTCAAAATGACCGCCGGCTTTCAAAATGGCCCCCCACTGTTTTCTAGGACAGATTTCTCTCTGCACAGGCACTGAAAATGGCTGCCGTATGGAGGATCTTCGCTAGACGAGAA